CTGGAGCATCGCGCAGACGCTAATACGCATGCGCGCGCCGCGTGCGTGCGCGAGGACGCCGCGTGCGTGCGCGAGGACGCCGCCAGCCTCGTTCCAACCGATCCGGTTGGAACGGGGCGAGAAACCCACCCCTGTTCGAATCCCTAGTGCCACATAACACAGCGAGCTCCTGTTACTTGTCCAAGCTTTGGCCAACCTAGCAATTCGAAAGCACATAAAAATGCAAGTAGTAAAAATAGGAACCACCTTTGGTGGGAAGGTAACAGTGTTCTGTGCACCTTTGCCGTTTAGTCATGCTGGCCACATGACCACAGAGACGTCTTTGGACAGTGCTGACTCTTCGGCTTTGAAACGGAGATGAGCACCCCCTTCTAGAATCAGGAATGACTAGCACATATGTGCGAGGGGAACCTTTACCTTTAAAATGCCCAATATGTTACTTTATCCTATTTTAGTATAATCTTCTCCCACTCAATCAGCCTTTTCTGTTCTGTTACTCCAGCAATGGTAAGAAAGAAGGGTTGCCAATATGGAATGAGTTATCTAATATATCATTTGATTGGGAACATTCTGTTATCCTCTGCAACCTTATGCCATGGTTATTCTTCCCTTAATCAGGAATAAGTACACTAAAATCAGCAGACAGAATCCAGATTTATGATGACACTTGAGTAGAAATTCTAATTTACCAAACACATCCCCAATAAACACCACTTTCTCATTTTCAGAGGGTTTTTTTTTCTTGACCTGGTGATGTGTGCTTATATTTTTGGCTATTTCCCAATGCACTGCAAAGCCATAAGTTCAAGGAAGGATTCTACTCTTTTGCCTCCGGGGTTGCTTCTCCGCCCCTCTGGCACTTGAATTATTGCCGGGTCAATGGTGATGATGGGAGGGAGGGGGAAACCCACAGGGAGTCCAGTAGGTGTAATTCATAAGCAGCTCTGACAGGCAAGACATTTGCAGAGGAGAAATTAATGGCCTGCCTAGTGAACTCTTGAGCTTCAGAAATCATTGCTTGGAGAACAAATATCTTTAGGGGAGGGGATGTGAATGATGAGACTCGTATGAAACACACCTCGGC